TATTCAAGGCTGAATAAGATTATCGTAATACGATATATAAGTATACTGATATTATCTAAAGCAAGTTGTATCGTATTCAAGTGACTTTTGGAAATTTCGAACGTTTTTGTCCTCTCAGCAATAGATGTAGTTCAGTATAATGGGGTACTGGAAAAGAAATGTGCTCCTCGAGTCTCATGCCGTGATAGTAAAATTTAACTACCAAAGATGGAGTATTGACTTATACAAATTGTTCAAATTGTCTGTTGGGCGCTTGGTCTGCTACCGTATTTATTTCAGATATATCGTTGTAGGTCCTCTGTTCAACCAATCCCAACAACAATACATTACAACTTCAAGGCGACAATATTTTAATGTCAAGCAGTGATTACAGTGTTGCTCCGGGAAGCAGACTCAACACAATAATATCAGGTATTCGAAGGCAGCGTCACTCACATGTGAACTTTTACAAGATTTATACCGACACATAGGAATGGAAACATTGTTAGGAACGACTTGGTGCTGCCAAATGGCAGAAGGTAGAGAAAGATTAGCCTGAAACTATCTAGAAGACGTCTTGGAGTAAATAAACAGTCATAGATACTAAATAAATACTGGATTTTAGATTCTGATAACCTGAATACCCGGGGGAGGGGATACAGGTCAAAATAAATATTCAACCCCTTTCTGTGGTAATGAATAAAAACAATTCCTACCCGGTATATTATATTTCTCTTTTAGATGATGATACGATTTTTACATATACTAGAATCTTGATTGATATATAGAAAAAATTGCTATGTCAGTCTCTATTTGTGGGTCATTTAAATGATCACATTTGAGAAGGAGTATTTAACCTTTTTGTCTTCACTAAAGGAGAAAATGATGCAAAAGAACGTATACATGTGGATACATCATCAAATATAGGTTGCAAATATCTAGATTTTATATACAGATCCGTTAAAAGTACATGTATTACTGAACACAACAGTCAAAAGGTTACAATCATTTAACTGTTTCAAATATTAATGTACAGAACAACAGAAGGAAATGATACATTGCAAATAGCAATATTCTGTCGAATAGAATAACATAAATAAACGATTGATTAGATAGGGTAAAAAACTGAATATAGCTCTGTGATCTTCTGACTTTGTTATGAAATACATTATGTTTTGCGACCAAAATGTTACCAAAGCTATTCAAAGCGCTAAATTGTCAATGAGATAATCTAAGGGATAATACAAAATAGCCCGACTCAATGACACGTATAATGTCTGATGGAAATCTTATGTTATTATACATTTAAAACGTATGTAATCAGAAAAATCTAAAGAGATCGAATTCATACTGGAAATCTTGATCAAACATTAACCTTCTGTGTAACTCTTTTGTGTTGAAGAGTCGAAAAAGTGTTTAGTCGGGGATGGTATCTATATGGCGTTGAATTTCCTGATTAACGTATCACATTAACGATAATGTATAAAATAGTTTCTACATTGTGTTAGAAAGGATTAACTTGCAGCAGAGACAATATTGATTCAGCTAGCAAATAATATTAACACGTAGCCGACACTATCCAATTTATTTCTATATACGACAAGCAATTAGAATATTGTATTCGACGCTCCCTTTGATCTCCAATGCAATTGTCGTCGAGCTGCTAAAACTCTAGCTATCTCCACACTATCGTCTCATTCATCATAATATTTAGAAATAACACTAAATCAGTCATAAAAGTAGCTTTAAAAAATGACAATGATGTTCTAACACCAGGATATATTATAATACTCCTGAAAAAAAAATTAAAAGATAATGTAGAGACAACATATCGTTTGAAATTGAAGTTTTGATGCTTCCAATTTTGAATACTTACTAGTACAACAAATTACTTTTTTTTTATTCAGCATTGAAATAGTGTGACGTACCTTTTGAATACACGTTTTTTTGGGGGGGCGAGGCATGATTGATCTTAAGGTATCATTTGCATATCGATATCAAGTTGATGTTGTAACGAGTTGTTGTAAAAAAGTCAAGAGAATAACGTACACGTCCTTCAGCTTTTTAAAAATAAAAAAAAAACCGTGAAATTGGATCTGAAAGGCGGGTTAGTTTATGTCAGATATGTTATCAAATATGACGATAAAATAATTGTTAAATAACGTAAAATAGGCGTAGATTCCGATTCGTGCGGCTTATATCAACATATAAATGGTTTAAAATTAAACACCCAAAGACTCTCCAAACAACAGATTAGAAGAAAAAATATTAAAGGTAGAGTGCCATTACAAATTGTTGATGATACTTGAATTCGGAAAGGATGGTGTATTTTTTTTTGATTACATATACAACCATATTCTGAACATAAATTTGGCACAAATTGTGTCAGTGCCCCAGTTGAATAGTGACTTTCAATATCCCTTATCACTAACAGTGGTTAGTGGTAGAAGCGTTACGTTAATCAGAATTTTCAAGAATCATCACTTAGAGTCTGAGAGACATGACTTATCACTGAATTATCGATGATCAGATACTCAAAACAATCCATGGTTTGCGAGGTTATTTCATTGAAATTCACATTTTGAAAAAAAGAGCGTTTTTAGATTTTTTTCAGAGAAGTTGTGATACGTGCTTCGTCTTTGCAGCAATCAACATTGTCAATAATCATTTCATCTTTTGGAAACAATTATGAGCATGCAGAAATTTGACATCATTAATCAAATGGTAGTTGGTATTTAATGTTTTTAATCAGCAACGGATTAAATAGAAATAATAATGTCTTGTGAAGTGAAAATTATATAAATAAAGTTGATTTTTGTTAAAGATAGACGCCACTTCGTCAAAATATTTACTATCAACGACTTGCGGCATAATAAACGTAAATTTAAATGTTATAATCTACAAATATAAGGCCATTCAAAATAAAATATTCGTATGGATAATATAGTTTATAATTGCCATTGATGTAATCTTCGTATGGACATGGGCAACTTGTTTGGATGTGGAGCAAATTGATAGATATAAATCTACTGCCAGCACTGTAAGGAACAAACCATATAATATAACCAAAAATAGGGTGATTTTCCAAAATAATTAGCCTAATATTTTGTTGCTGCTCTCGCTTGATTGGGAATTTCTATTTTGTTTCAAACCAGAAAAATAATGGTCAAGTTTTGAGTAAGTTATGTTTCATGCTCTATGCGATATATAAACAGAGAATCCTTTATTATCAATATATACATGTAGTAACCATGGTTAAGCATAATAAGATATGCTTTGTATTTCAAATACTCAAGCACATTTGGAACAAAAATGAAATCAAGTGAAATTTCAAAATGAAGACTCAGTGTTAATATATTTAATAAATGTTGGTGATATTAAAATCTAGAACTTATATCATATTTTCAAATGTTTTTCGTTTTTTAAAACATTAATGTCATTCAAAATCATATCAGTTAAATAATTAAGATTTAAACATTGAACATTAAATTTTTTCGGCCTAAATATATTTTATTTGGTTAATAAGAATGTCAAAGAAGTAAACTTGTCAAGTGAAATAGATATAATCATTATCTACGTAGATAATTTAACTTGCTAAAGTATAAACAAATTTCTCCAAGATTTCTATCTAATTTGCCTTCAAGACTTTGAACCGTGTGAATGTTCCCTATTTAGTTGAACGGTCAACTTCTCATAGCCTTAGGTCAACAACAGATTGACACTTGCTTTTCTCGTATTTAGACATTTTGAATTTCGTAATTATGTGTATATTTAACTATGCACAATATTAATATACACAACGTCGAATTTAAAAATCCCAAATTTATAAAACATGAAAAAGTACGATTATGTGCGGTTTTAATACATTTTTGTATTATGGGTAGCGTTCAGAAATCCACCAATTTTGCAAAAAACGACAGGGCCAATCGTTACTTACTGTTTTTGGAAGCTACAAGTAAGGCCTTGTTGAACGATTGAGTTTTGGATTAAAACTTATGTCACATCTTCTCGCACACTTGTATTGAGAGTAAAGAAGCTTATAAGAAAACTCAAGAAAAGCACTGACCGAGGTTTGCTAGAGCGATGTATGATTTTTATAATCACTACACCGTAAATTGATAATCATTTTCCAAGTATAAGGCCTAATATTTGCGCTACATTATTCATCAACTATAATTTACATAAATTAAAGCCGATATTTAAAACTCATTATGACAAAAACATCAAAAAAAACTTCAAACAAAGGTTTGACCATGAAAGTATTTCCATTGTAATTCATAACTAGGAAGGTCAATATTTGTAGCCTAAGGCAATGATCAGACAGGTAGAGGCTGTGATTGGAAACTTAGCGTCTCATTATTTGAATTGATTCAAGATAGCGTATGTCCGGTTTTTATTATTCAGAACTTTGTTTTTTTATTTTCTAAGATGGTCGTAATCTCGACAAAAACACAGCAATTCCACACTTAACTCCTTTTTAAAATTCTGAGTCCAGTTATTGCGTGGAACATCTTCGAGACGACAACATGCACAGATAGTAGGACACACAACAATTGCAGTTTACCCCGGAGAATAAGACACGTGTCCTATCACATTAGTATTGACTGTCTTATATTATTCATTTATTCTGGCTGATAAGATAAAATATAAGAGGGGAGATAATTCAAGCTCCTTGACATTGGCACTTTTGTTATGGCATGTCAGGTGTACCGTTTGAAGAATGATCTGTATTTTCTGTAAATCGTCATTTTAATAGTTATCAGAGCCATATTTGCAAATGAATGAAGCCGAAGAAGAAAAAGAAAAAAAGTCATGTAATTCCAGAACAGAATATTTTTCATATCAGTGATCTGAAGATGGATTTCGCTTGTGAACAGTATGTGTGAACTGTGCCATAATTGAGAAACGGCACGTCCTAGTTAGCGAAAACCAGTCATTTGTACGCTAAGGAGCATTCATTCGTTAACTTTTCACTCAGGGAACCAGTGATTCGGACTAAATAGCAAAGACATGCTAATCTAATGGACGCCCGCCACCAAAATTACGTTGATACAATTACTACTACAAAAGCTCCTGGTAAGATTTTCTGGCGACGGAGTTTTATGGTGAGCGCCGACAACAAGCCTATACTTTACCGTTGTAAATATCATTGGTTATTTGATAGGCTTTAATATGAAATATCATTCATTATCCCATGATTATAAGCACCGTTAACTTTGATCTGAGTTAATAAGGACTATTAACCGCACCAATTTGTTAGTTCAATTTTATTAGCTACATGATAGCCAAATATTTGATAGTTCGTACAATCGATAATTTGGTCGTATCTCTATCCATACTCAGCGTTTGATGTGACGAAATTTCTAAATTGAGTCATTGGTTATAATTTGAATTTTTATGCTGCAAAATTGGAATTCACGTACTGTATGGATTTGCGTCATCATAGATGCTTTCAGCCATTCAGACACGCTCATATAAAACGCTTAAATAAACTGCAAAACTCTTGCACCATTATAATGCAACTTGTATCTAAGTTGAGCTTATGTAGCATAATGAATTAATCCAATAATATCGTATTAAGAATGAAACTCAAATGCATTTCCACAGATAACAATTGTAAAAGCGATATATTCCAACAGGGTATTTTAAATTGAACGTTGAGGCATGCATACTGATTAGAATGAAAAACCTTATTTCTCTCAGCTTTACTGATATCAACACTCGATGTTGCCAAATTTTCATTTTGAATGGAAGTAAACAGCCAAAGTTCATGACGTGCATCACCATCTGTACAATTTATAAGACACATAAATTTCCAGAATGTATACAAGTTTAAATGTGTCTATATATTACAAGATTCATTATGTAGCCAATATGTTTTAGTTGTCAAAAGTTTTGGCAGCACAGCGGTTGATATTCGTCAAATATTGTTTCAACGCCTACTTTTATAGCTCTTACGACACGCACATTAAAAATGGTAATTTCAGATAAATTATTTTTGTCTGGTTGAAAGTTCGCCTGGGACAATTCGGTGATTCGTCTCTGATGTGTTCCAAAAACTGTTGCTTAACTGATCTCTATTCAAACACCAGAATGACATGCATGTATATACTTCTGTTATTAGCAAATATAGTATTAAGATCACTGTTTGTACGATTTTCTCGGTTTATCCGACTCCATTTCCAGAACTGAATGAGAACAATATCCGAGGAAAGTGAGTTCGAAATCTGTTAGCAATTTTTAAAAGGAATCTGAAAAGTTACAGGAGTTGCTGATGGTGTATTTTTCAAAGATTGACAACAAAAAATTCTCGAATGATTTCTTATCAAAACACATGTGCATCTTTCTGTATGATTTCGACCCTACCATTTTAAGAACCTCATATGATAACATATTGAAAGCTATACATAAAGCACAAAAAGTTAAAAGTGGTAACGCGAATATTACTTAAATTAGGGAGGACCGCAGTGGTTAAAACATTAATAACTCCCTTATATTACAATATTGTGAAAAAATAAAACTTAATGAACCCTATGACCTAAAAAACGCTACCCAATCCCAACCCCTATATTAGCATTTACATAAAACATAAGTCATCTTATATATAAAAGGTATGTTATAGTTTATATTACCTATAATGATATATAATTACACCTAACACAACATCAAAAATAATCTTCCCGGAAATTTCATTCATAAGAAAAATATTATGAATTCGATAAGGGACGCTAGAGACGGAGATGACGCACTTGGATGATTTGTGACGCGCCACATAATGGTCCCTTTCCTTTCAGTCGGAGACGCTGTGACTGCACTAAACATTCCAACCGTAGTCATTCGAATCGAACAAGATTTTCCTGAAGTGATAAGTGAAAGATCAAATGGTAAGTCAACAGAGATACCTAAAAAAGTATGCATTAGTACAATTCAGATGGCACAGCGATTTCGTTACATACTTTTTACATGCTTAAATATTTCTCAGTATAGTGCGAGCATAGTACCTTCGTATTTGTGAAAGTCAATGTTTATCAAAGTCAGCCATGTAGGTTGGAGTCCTTTACAGAAACAGCCCGTTTGACCTAAGCTGTGCACATTCTAGAAGCCCTGGAAATTGAAGATTTTAATTTTATGCCGCTGTTCTGGCACTTTCCATAAACTATCACTGCATGCCCCAATCACAAGCAGGCGACAAGTGGGACCTCAATACTAATGAACAAGGGTCCGGAATCATAATACCAAATGCAACAAGAAAAAGAATGTTTCTGTTACAGGTCTTGCTTCAGCAAACAACCACATAGATGAAATCGATACAATCAAATCAATATATTGGCTTGGTGCATAAAACGGCTTTATCCATTTAAAAACTAATTACTACTCCGACCATGGATTCGGCACTTACTTTTCACTATAAAATATGCATTCAAGCCCACACAAGTTAACAGTAATTAAATATAATACACCACCAGAGATGATACTGGTACACCTTAAGCTATATATCTACAATGTAAGTATATTATAGTTGTAGATTTGTCATTTCTAATCAGATAACATTGAAATAAATTCATGTTTTGTTGCTAAATCTTTTCTTGAATCCATCAAAACTTAAATACTTGATAGTAATTGAGACTAAAACATAACCCAAGTCAACAACTCCTTAATCTGTTAGGTCTAGATCCTAATCAAAAACCAGTAATCGAATATGCTTGATCTCAAATCGCTTAGTCTTTCAAACCCACGTTACAAATTGATAGCGTGGAGGTTTTGATTGGTTTTTTAAGTAACGTTTTGTTAGCTATCACATTGCTTTAGCTACTGTTTATTAATAAATAATACTTTTGGGATTAAATACTTTGATTTTAGGCCACATATTTTAACTTTTTGATTCTAGTGATAACAATATTTGACTTCGGAATTATACTTACGATAAAGATACCATACACTTCTAATTTTTTGTAATTTGTAATATTACACTAAATATGCAGAGCCTTTTACGATTATATAAATTGGCTTTTCATGGCTGAATATGAACCAATTCTTGAAAATACTTCTCCTTTGACATCATCTGGATCTGATAGAGAGTTTGAAACCCTAGTATATATATGACCGAACCCACACTTCCCCTCTTCACATAAGAATAAAAAGAGAAAATTTCATTATCGGAGAAACTCAAGCTATGGTGTTTATTTCCATGACTAATACACTTTACCCTCCAACAAATTAACAACCATGGCCTTATACCAATGGGTTGATTATGCTTGTCAAGAGGTGTTTTTATCTCTTGACAAGGAATTGACAATTCTTATTTGTAGCTAATACATAATTAAAGAGTAGTTTGGATTGAATAATTCTTTTTAATTGAATTAAAAGTATATCATATTTCTAACACAAAGCGATTATTGAAAGGCAATACATTTGATATTCCAATTGCCACTTTAAAGTGTTAGTATTGAAGGTTATGACCTATTTTTTTTAATGATGAAAAGTTAAATGAGTTAAGCAGTTTATTGAAAGTGTGTTTTACAACCTACCTGTCTGCTACCAATTAGGCCAACGACGGTACAAATTACAAAGAGGGAATTGCTTTTACTAGAATAAGATCTAGGTTACACACGGGGCCCTGAATTAGTAAGTTGGTCCCATTCTGCATAAATGAAAAGGGTCCACATGGTTAGTGGGCAAAGTATCAAAAAGCTGAGTCGATAATATACCCTAGGGAGTAATACCAAGCTTTATGTATGACGCTTATTCATGATTGTTTCAATTCGAGTTTTCAGCGTCAGTTTATAGCCTTTTAACCAGTTTGTACAAGTTATTTACGTTCTATCTGTGCAATATCATTTAAAATATGTAAAATCATCGCCCTTCCCATGGTTTAAAAAAAAAAGGTATACAAATATCAACATATGCAAAAGAGTTATTACCCCTCTGATAGATTTGTATTTTGAAATTTCGCATTCTGAAAAATAGACATATTTTATTAAATTTTTATTACCAACTTGCCGACTAAAATTATTTAGTATTTAGTGACACAATGGCAGAGTTTGTGGAAAAGTTTGCAATTTAAAACACAGCCTCTACTATCAATTTTGTTTTAAGATTATGATTTTTTTTTCAATTTAATATTTCGTGATAAGAATGATAAGGATTTCTTTCCTAATTTTGGTATCTATGACAACCTGATAAGATTTAAACGTAATTAAGATAAATATGTTGAGTAAGAAATATTCCTATCAAATATTTTAAATATTACCTATAGTTTGACCTCTTAGTTTCATTTCAAAGTCGTTTATCTCATTTTGCACGTTTTATCAGAACAAGAAAAAAGATTTCTCTCAGTATGTGGCTGACAAGTATATTAAAATTGTGAAACTGATATGAATATTCGCTGCATGGTCCATGTTCAACTTTTGTAGAATTAAACTCTATCAAAATACCATGGAGACATTCAATGAATAAAATACGACTAATAACGTCACCTTGGCAAACGCCGTGGCTGTTTTTAATTGTAAGGGGATTTATGCAAACTTAATTCCAAATAAACGCAATTAGCCAGAGTGACATCGAAAGTTTCAAAAGGGGTATGTCCTCTACCAGTCACATGCAGTATATGTATAATAGTAAAAATTAACATTACATTAAGTAGAAGAAGAACCCTATAAATCGAAACAACACTGATATCCATGTCACTTACAGCGGATTTGGGATAGAATCAGCGAAGCATCTTGGTGGAAAACACAGTATATGATCACCACGATCAACACTTGAACTATAAATATATTATTTAGCTTTGAAAGCTATGTTACCAAAGAAGGTTTGACGGTAGAATTCAATTCTGACTTTACAATGGCTCTTTCAAGACTTTTTAAGCCATCTCAAATGTATATCACCCATTCTAATAGTTTATTCTAATAAAAAGAAGATATTCAAATTTATTTACACTTTCATATTATAAAATTCTTCGCTTGGTATTCATAAACAAACGTATTTACATTATGTCAATTACCGCGAAACATTTTCTCGCCTTTAACAGTAAATATTTATGTTGATTTTTATCTGTCCTAAAATTTATCTGAAATATTTGCGAAATTTTCGGAATATATGAATAAATAAAGAAGAAACGGTGCCGCTTTTTTCCTGCAGAAATATTTACACAAGTAATACAAAGAATTATTGAAATATCCATTTCGTTTTGACTGAAAAAAGTTTCCACTGAATTATAAGGTTGTGTTCGACCTTGTGAACTAGATGTAAACGAAACGAGCTTATCGTGGCAAAAGAATAAAACAAAATTGTTCAAGATTGATATTAAGAAATGATATAGTTATTATTTTAAGTATATGATACGCTCTGAGTGATACTTGGTTGAATGCAGTGTTTATTGTCTTAGCTAAGTATGATTTAATCTTGATGATGTACATTTTGCTTTATCTGCTCACCCTGTCTCAAAGATGATAAGGCTTGTTAATGTTGCAGGCGTTTAAAGAAAGACTTAATTGTCTGATTTCGATGTAAAAATTGAAAAAGAAAGTAGATATCATGCAGATCTGACATGCTCATTGAGATAAGGCAGATTTTAATGAGTTTTACAATTGTATAAATTATATTTTTGTAATATTTGACTAAATCGAGAATATGTTTCCTTCCCACTTAAATTATTCAAAAGAATGGCGGTTTGTTTGTTTATTTTTACACATTTAGCCCTAAAATTGTGTCGTTTTTGACATTAATTTAATCTTTAAAATTATCTTTGAAACCAACTTGATTCCAAAATACATCCTGCTATCTTTATTATTTATGTCACCTCTTCTTTGAATACAACAAGGCATTGAAATATATTGCACACTTCAAATGTATGGGCAATAACTCTTGCAAATTTTGCAACAGCATTTAAAGCAACTTTATGACTATTTGACTTACACGGACGAATAATGTGATTTGACTACTAAATGTAGAGATATCGTTATATTGGGTCAAAGTGTACCTTATGAAGAAAATATAACTGATAATTTTAATACTTCGAAAATTTTATCGGCAAAATCTCTTCTTTACTTTTTATAACTTTAATTGCCTCTTGAAAATCTTGAAATTGGGTTCCATGATCGACTAATCAATAAAGTGAATCAATACACCTTTGTATTTAAAAATGAATGTAATTTAGCTATATATTTTTTAGTTTTTTATATATTGGTCTATATTTTGTAAGAAACCGTTGTCCGTCGTTGTTAATACGTGGAAATTAACATCTACTGTTACAAGAGCAGTACACCTCAGCTTCACGTTTATAAGTAAAACCTAAGTCTTCACACAGATTATTTAATTTGCTTTTGATTGTTGGATCAGAAAGTTTCAAACGCTTTTCACCATAACCTTTGGTTTCAATTCGGCTTTATTTCCTAAGATTTCAGGTGGTAAGTTGGTGTTTACTCCCACGTCCAAAATACTGACAGATAAAAATAACGTGGATGTCTTGTATACAATACAAGAACAAAGCAATTGTATGTGGAGTTTACCCTTAGTCGACTCCGTTTTTCTACTACCCATTTTCTCAATTATAAACCCTTTGACCTTACCATTACCTGTTGGCACAAAACCTTTAAAGAGTGTAGCTGGTTACTATGCTACTACAGATGTAATGAACAGATTATAGTGAGTTAAAACAACAAAAAATAAATTTGCATATAATCGCAATTAAATAGATCATTAGTCATTATTGTAAAGTCATTTTTATTTTGTTTTTTTTTTGTAATCAGAAATTCAATGTTAAAAATGCTGTCCTTGCAACAGCTTGCTCGTTAAACACAACTATCAATTATCCACTTTTTACACTGCTATATTATTTGCTACTCGCGTCTTTTACAACAAATATTAACATCATAACTGGTGATATCTGATAAAATGATATATATCTAGGTAGGCGAACGTTTGTAGCTGATGCTGCTCTTACATTTGATAACATCCATTGATATTTTCGAAAGGTACAAGAACGTAAACGTTGGTCTTAATAAGTTTCGATATTGTCCGATATAAAATGATTAAAAAAATTTTTGATCGAAGTGATATTGACTAAATAGATTTTTCATAAAATCAATAATTCCTTATTTCTACCTTCTCAATAGTGCAAAAAAGTCAACCCCAACTTACAGCTCGATTTATTTAATCTAAAGATGCAGTCTTAATTTTTTCATTACAAAATCAGACAATAATTGTAGTAGATTTTCGAGACTTTGAAATAGAAATTCTGATTTGATTTAGAGAAAAGTGAAAACATTTCAATTACTTTGGGCGCACCTTGTTGCAATACAAGTAAAAGTCAAGTTAAACGTTCACATGTCTCCAATAAATCCCATAATCACAAGAAAATGAAATCGTCGTACTCTAGTCGATATGCTTTTAACATTTACATCTAAATTGATGTTAAGTTGTGAGTAAAAGTCGCCTCAAGGCATAATTCACAACTGAAGCTGAAAAATAAGGAGTTAAAAGTGATGTAACGGTGAACAAATTGTGACGTAATAAAGCCAGTAGTAATTTCAGTGAGGGGAAAGATAAGAAGTTTAAATTGCTAGGTTGATGATGGGTAGGTAACTAAGTGTGAAATGGTATATTAAAGTAATAAAAGCAAATACACCCTGGTACTCACTGGCTTTTATCCTTTCTTTTATTCTTTTTTAATTCACCCCTTTTTAAAACTTGTCATACTTCATTGCCTTGCTTTTAAATATTAGGGCGTGTTTTCTCCACAGTGGCAACCCCCTTTAAACATTAAAAAAAACTTTTTTGTAAATTTGCAAAAGTCTGTATAACGTCTTTTTTGCACCCTGACGCCGTTTGGTCACATTTTCTTTAAATTATTTTAACAAATTATTTTTGTATTACTGGTGAGAAATCGCTCAATTTTTTTATAAGAAATACAACAAAGTGCTGTTTGTCGCCCTAGTTGTCTGCTCACTGTAGTGAGAGATTGTGTTATTTCGTTAATGTAGCGGTATTTTCCAACTTGTTTTCGTATGCATTGAGAATATCTGAGCAATTGTTTAGCGAGTACTACTCAAGCTAGGTCAGATTGAACCTTAAATTTTCTGTAAGTCGAATAACAATTTTCTTTACAGAGAAACGTCCTTTACTCAAGAAATTCTCAACGTGAAATATCTATTACAAAACACATATTTAACAATTTTCGGAAATATTTGGAACTTAACACTAAAGTTTGTCACCATCAATGTATCAATAATCCAATTAAGATTTATCTCTGTCATTTCTTAACTATTGCCCTTTAATGGCGCTGGTTAAAAAGTAAATAATAAAAATAAATATGATTATTTAAATTTATAACGACATTAAGTATTGTTCAATTAATATTTACACTGTCAATTTTGTGCAAGAATGGCTTCAGCAATAGACTCTAGTATTTGCAATATAAGTATCCATTTTTGGAATTGTTTAATTAATTTTGTCAACAAACACACGTGGATATACCAAAACAAAACAAAACTTCAAAGAAACAATTATAAAATTAAACGAAAATAAATATAGGGCGATATTCTTCATAAACTTAGTAAAGCAGCCACTAATGAATGAATAGATAAACAAAGAATTACAGATAATGACTTAGTCTGGAAAAAAAATGACCAAAAACTCATTGAAACGTTCATCAATATTGATATTATGTTAAGTATCATTATCATATATTTCATTATAAAATGAAGGTGCCAGCTGCTATGTTAATTTTCATTTCTACCTCATTAAATCGTGTACGTTATTTAAAATGTATATATTTTGTCACCAGCTAAACTCAAATACATGTAGTTATTTCGCTTGTGATACATTTCAATGTGTAATTATTACATATTTAAGAGTAATACGTCAATATTAATAGTATAATGATGTTTGGTTGGGTCATGAAGAGAAAATGGCATGTAGATCTACACTATGCAAATCAGTATTTTAACACACTAGGTCTAAATGCAGATAGCAGTATCAGACTGTAAATGATGAAGGATAATCTGGGAAAGATCAATGCCAAGAGGCTTCGACTGATAGAAAGGATCCTCATCAACCTTAAAAATGGTTGTTTCATTCTTTATTTCGATGTTGACATCAGTCGTTAACGACTTTTCTTACAGCAAAGCATCAACAATATACAACGTAATTTACAATAGTACACTATGTATGCAGCATGTAAAATGTAAAACCGCTAACTGGGGCACCTGTAATTTACAGACTCTACAAGTTAAGGCCTTTCGAACACCGGAATGTGACGCTTGCATGGACAATTTTCTATTGTTTACCATTTTTACTAACGCACGAAGACACAGAAAAGTAGGACTTGTAACTTTACAAAAAAAAAAAAAACACCAAAAAAAAAGACTTCTGGAGTCCAAATAAGCCGATGTGTTAATTTTTAAGAGAGGCCGCCAAACGATTGACGTCCTGCCGTGTCACACCTAGGCTTCAACCATTTTTAATAGCGGTTGAATATTAAAATGATTTGTGGGTGCATATTTTATTTTCTATAGCGTCGAGGTGACAATTTGAGTTACTTTCAATAATAAATTCATGGACCACATAAACACTAATATGAAAATATTCAAGCCTTTAGAATCTCTTTTTTATAAGTGGACATCATACCATGCTGTGCCAACTTGACTCGACAACATTTTTCATTTTTAATTCAAAGCTTGTCAGAGGGTTGAACTTGTGTTAAGAATTTCAAACGATTGTGATTATTTCTTTTTTAAGGATGATAGCCGCCTATTGTCCGTCACAGATTGTATGGCTCTTATATTAACTAGATTAGCATAATCAGAAAACCATGTTCTTATGCTAAACTATGGTCGGACGAGCAATCTTCCCCAAAAGAAAAGACTTAAAATGAAAAGGATAAACACCTTTTACCCATTATTTGGACGAGATTTTTTATTGACGTAATCGTCTTGCTTGTCAGGATCTTTATTTTCATATAGTCTTAAAGATTTCTGATAAAACGCGATTTCATTTATTGGCACTCCTTTAGAGAAAGAATTCAAATCATCCGTCTTTTACACCTACAATTTAACAAAAAACTGAATGTGGTCATTACTTGCAAGATGGTATTAACATCTTCAAAAGTACATTTTGGATTTTGTGAGATTTCATACGACCAGGTATGCCTTAAAATATATATCCATACAAACTGGCCATTCATTTGAAACCAGAATTTTTTGACATAAACATTTTGTATGCCTTAAAATATTTGGCCATTCATTTGCAACCAGCTCCAGTAAGCTGCTTCTATATTATACTAGTTTCAGATTTCTAAACAATAGGAATTCTGCAAATACAAGGTGATGTGACGTTACTTTTGAGCACATTACAGAAATATATCTGACTGCTTTCCTCAATTGAAGAATGTACGAATTGTTTGGAACAGTTGGAAGCCAATCAATGACTATGGTTGGATGATGATTCTTGTTATAATTACTGATCATGGTCTATGAGTTGAAAGTTAATCATTTGAGATATTATTCATGACAATATCTAATATTCCGTGTAGTTCATCCATTTAGTCATCGAATCTACTGGTTTCATAGAAATGATGGCTTATCACTTAATGTATAATTTAGTTATTTTAACACCGTATTTTGTGAAATGCTGGTTAACTTGTATCTAATTAATTCTAATCTGATAAAGCAGTGAATAAAACCATGTTTATCTATTACATCCAAACATTAATACTTGATGCTTCCATGTATGATTATCTGTAGAACTTTCTTCAAAGCATTAATACTTCATAGGTTCATCAATCCAAAGAAGACATATTTTCAAAATGGAAATGTTGAGATGGACGGTGCAACCCCACCCTCCCCCTCTTTTATAATCGTAGAGAAATAATACTTCATACGCACTTCAATCTAATGCAGACATTTTCAAGCCGGATTTTGTAATAGGAAGTTGGGGGATAAAGTGTGTCAATGTTGAGTCCCCTCTTACATGGTAAAGTAATATACTTCGATATGTTTTAATCCGAAAAACACGTATTTTCAAAGCAAGACTTCGTTAGTGTGGAGGGACAGTGTAATGGTGTCCCCTCATAGCTACCTAATGGTATTTTGGAAACAACATTCATACAAGTAAGACCGAAAGAGTTATTGTCGTCTGTTTAGTTGATAAACCAGTATCACATTTCATTTTGATTTGAAAACCTTCTGGACCTTTTGAAATAAAATAAAAGTAAAGATTAATTAATATTAGTTTATTAATTATCAGCCTCTTAAATCATTTCTGAGGACTTGGTTTTCCAGGAAATCTGTTTTGATCTAGCTTACGGAAAAGAATCGCCTGTTTGTCATTCTGAAACGTGCTTGGATAGCTGATAATCTTGTCTTCCTGCTGGTAATTTGTTCATTTAAGCAAATAAACTAAGCCAATTCGTTGATCAGCTTGAACATAAAAGTCAGAATTGAAACGGCAAACTTATCATAATTTTAAATAAAAATCCGGGTTCAGAATCATACACAAAACCGCCTACACAAATATGCAGAATACATTACGTCTGAAAAGGAAAAAGATTCCGACATGGCTCGTATAGCGTGTTACAAAAGATAAAATGAACAGGACAATATTTGCTGCAAGGCATATCTACATGGTTGAAACAAACAGGCCCGAGTG